CCACAAGGTGTGTCATCAGTCACATTCCCCAATGAAGCAATTTTGTGGGTTGTAGAAGTCACTCCTTCTGGCACTGTGGGTCATGGAGATGATGTTGCCGCTGGAGTTGATGTTGCCGCTGGAATGTACTTTATTTTGACTGAAATGCAAATTCCTCAATGCAGCTGTGAGTTTTCAGTTTTCCCATCCCTTTGCCTATGGCAACTTGAGAACAGGTCAGGAATGCTTCATGAGTTGACATTCGGCTTCCCTCAGTTCCTGAAGGCGACCCAGTTTGTGCAAAGCAAAAACTGTTTGAGTACAGGCATAGATTTTAGCGGTGCAACCCGCCCCAGGGCTTGTTGGGTTTCCTTAATAGAATTTAGCCATGAGGTGGTCAGTTTGGATGTTTCTGCTCTTTACCCAAGATGCCTCTCTTAAAGAGTAGCCCTTCCACTTGATTAGGTATTGGAACTGTTTCCTGTGGCACCTCGAGTCGAGGATCCGTTGCACCTCATAATGGGTTTAGACTCCTATGACCTCTGGGTCCAGGAGCTCATGAGATAGTAGTTTCAGGGTTGACCCAAACATGGGTTTTAAGAGGCTGCTATGGAATAATGGGTGTATCTTCCCATCGGGGCAATTTTAATTGCATTGCAAATTTAATCTTCACTATAGGAAATGGCCCCATGAACTTGGGTCCCAGATTCTTGCTGGGGAGTTTTAATATCGAGTATTTTGTGGTGAGGTAGGCCTTTTTCCCCAGCTGGAATGGCAGTTGTGAGGCTCGGTGTTTATCTGCCTGTTTCTTATAGGTCTGTACCAATTTAGCTAGTGTTTTCATGACATTTTACCATGCTGCTTTTAGCATTCACAGTCACTCTGTCTAACTGACTGAGCAGAGGAGATCCCATGGGTATTCTGGCATTGGGACGAAGTCCATTTGCTCACTACTTTGAATGGAATTAGTCCCGTGCTACTGTGAACAACATTATTGTATGCAACCTCAGTGAAAGGCAGGAGGTCCACCCAATTGGACTGCTGATAATTCCCATAATACCTCAGGTATTGCTCTACCATGGCGTTCAGACATTCTGGCCCCCTCCCAATAGTAGGCAGATGAAAAGCTGAGCTAAGGCCCTGAGGGGACCCAATGGACTGCATGAACTCCCTTCAGAACTTTGCCATGAACTGGACCCCTCTGTCAGACGATTCTTCATGGCATTCCATGCAGGCGGTAGTTGTACTTCAGGAACTTTTTGGCTAGCTGGTGGGCTGAGGGTAGTCCACTTCAGGGTATGAAGTGTGCCTGCTTGGAGAAAGTCAATCACAATTCAGATCACAGTGTCCCCCTGCTCTTTGGCAACTCCACTATAAAATCCATTGCAATTTCCTCCCATGGCCTCGTTGGCTCTGCCACTGGTTGCAGTAGTCCAGGAGGTTTTCCTGATTGCTTTTTCATAGTGGCACAGATGGTGCAACTTTTCACATAACTGTCCACATTTTTCTTCATGCTAGGGCACCAGAATTGCATCTGTGCTAAGTGTAAAGTCTTTAGGAACCCAAAGTGGCCTGCCAATTTGACATCGTTGCTCCTCTGGAGGATTAACGTGCAAAGGGACTCTGCGATGTAGGGTAAACATAACTCTTTACATGCTAGGTCCTCCCTTTTTGTCAAGATATGTTGGTTGTCATGGAACCAGAGGTCTATTAGCACTTTGGCTTTAAGTTTCCTGGTTAGATTGCTTGGGGTCAGTCTTGCCGGTTGCAGCATTGTTGTCTGGTGGTTACTTGGGCTGCTTTTTGGGTAGGGGGGATGATTGTATCTACTACCTCCTCCCATTCACATTTGTACTGGAGCATGTGGGAGAGGGCATCAGCTAGAAAATTCCTCCCTCCTGGCATCTACTTTAGTACAAAATTGAATCAGTTGAAGTGTTGAGCCCAGCAGACTAGTTTGGGCAATAGCTTATGTGTGGTCCTAAGGGCCTCCAGATTTTTGTGGTTAGTCCAGACTTCAAACTGTTTCTCTCCCCTTCCAGCAGGTGGCACCAGGTTAGCAGTGCCCATCTTACTGCAAAAGCCTCTTTCTCCCATGCCGCCCATCGCCTCTCTGTGTCTGTGATTTGTGGGAGGTGTAGGTGCAGGGCTGTAATTTTCCTTGGCTATTTCTTGGGAGTAGCATTGCTCCCACTGCCACGTTGCTGGCAACTGCTTAGATGACAAAGGGTTATTTGGTGTCAGGATGCTTCAGCACCGGTTCCTTTGCAAAATGTTCTTTTAGCGTTTTGCATGCCTTTTGGCACGTAAGGTCTCACTGTAGGGTTGTCCCAGGTGGAGCTTCGTCCTTGGACCCCCTGTCTTTAGGAGATCTGTCATGGGTTTGGCAATCTTTGCAAAGGAGAGGATGAATTGCCTGTAAAGGTTTGTGAATCCTAGGAAGCTTTGTAGCTATCTGTGGGTGCAAGGGGGCTGTCAGCCTAGGAAGGCTTGTACTTTGACTGGGTCCATCTCTATGCCCTCATTTGACACTCAGTAGCCCAGGCAGCCTAGCCATACATGGTGAAATTTGCATTTTGACAGCTTGATGTACAGATTTGCTGCTAGAAGTTCTTCCAATGCCTGGTGGACTAGAGGTATGTGGTCCTCCATGGTGTCAGTATAGATGAGGATATTGTTCAGGTAGACAAGGATCCCCTTATAGAGATGCTTATGCAACACCTTGTTTATTAACTGCATTAACTGCTGGGGGGCGTGCAGTCCGAAAGGTACTACTTCGAATTGGAAGCTCCTGAGGGGGCAGTTGAATGCTGTTTTCCATTCATCTCCTTCCTTGATGGGGACTCAGTAGTATGCTTCTCTGAGATCTAATTTAGTAAAGATTTTTCCATATAGGTTGTGCACACACAGAGTTTATATCTCTAAAGTCCACATATAATCTCATAGTTCCATCTTTTTTTTTCTTTAAATAGGACTGGGGATGCAACCTGCTTGATAGGTTTTTGTCTATATATTTGTGCATTTCTTGCATTTCCTGTGATATTGTGGCCTATAGTTTAGGTTTGGGTAGTTTTGCCCTGGGGATGATTTCGATGGTACAATCCATCTGTGGGGAGGTAGGACATCACACTCCACCTTGCTGAACACTTCCCCAAGGTCCTGATATTCTTTGGGGATCTTTTTGACATCTGAGGTTTTGACAGAGGTGGCCACCAATTGTTCTGATGGGGCCTTTGTGGGGTTTCCTGCATGGGTGATGCTTCCATTTTCTGGTGTGGAAGGGGTTGGGGATACTCGGAACAACTCAGAGAACAATCCGCATATGCCTGTGCTTGGTGTGTTTGGCAGTCTCCCTCAGCTCTAGTTTGTAGAGGGGAGGAGCTGCCCACCTTGGGCAGCCTGCCTGTTGGGCAGAGGAGCCACCACCAGCAGCCTCATTCTCCTTCTGTTGGGTGGAGAGGGGATGTGCATTCCAGAGGTGGTCTCTTATCAGTTTGCAATGGTTCAGGTGAACCAGTAGTGGAAATTGGGTCTAGGTTGCCGAACCAGTAGGGGCGGAGCCTGGCCATGCCCCTGAACTTGCTGGGACACTTGCCCTTCCTTGCCTTCACCATGTTCATCCACAGAACTGCCTCCTCCTGCCTACACACAGGTAAACATTTGTGTTAGCCTACCACCTCCCTCTACCAACCAGTGTCTCCCAAAGTCGCTGCCATTGCAGCCATTGCAGGGATGGGAATGTGGCTATGAAGCTTGCTGGGCTGGAAAGCCCCCTCCCCACCAGGATGAAGCCACCACCATTGCAGTTCCTAGAGAGCCATGCTCATGTTGGCAATCCAGAGGGCAGGGGGAACTGGCTGCTGCCTCCTAGCTTTGGAGCCAGCCAGGGGTGAGCTGGGCAGGGGCAATGGCAACAATGGAGTCCAGCACTTGGGGAGGACAATGTTAGCATGCTCCCAGTCACACCCTGCAGTGCCTCCGTCCACCATCTCAGAGCAGTGGACTCAGCTGTGAACATTTTTGAAACCTACCACTGCTGCATTCCCATCTATGTGGCCTCACTTCAAAGGGCTCAGTTTCAACCTCCCTATCTTTTGGGCAGCACAACTCCTCTCATCACGAATAGTGGTTTGGTCAAATTTCGCCCTCAGCTGTTCTAAGGATCCTCCCAAGGGTTTTGGGGAGTCTGGCCTATTCCCAGTCCCTCATCCATTGCACTCTTCCTAGCTCATTCAGGTTTCCCCCCCCCCCCCAATGCTCCCTAGAGTGGGAGAGCACAATCTCAGCCACTTTAGGGACTTTTCCTCACCAATACTCATCCCTTTTCATTTGGGTCACTGGGGTGGGTGTCTGAGCTGTCTCGGCTTTGATGTCCAGAGAGACCTGCAGTTTGGTTCTGATTGGGCTGCTGGCTCCTGGCATTTTCTGAGTGGGGGCAATTTCTGCCCTATTCTGGATCACCTGGAGCAAGCTCTCTTCGGATAGTCTGTCTTCTGCCATGGTAGCCTGAGTTCTCTCCATGTAACCCAGGGGTCAGGAAGCTAACAGAAAGCCCGGGACTCAGGAATCCTGGTCATTTTGATTAGTTTTAGGAGAGTTGGCTTGCTGTAAGGGCTCCAACTGATGCCCTAATTAAATCATGAGTATCAAGTCAAGCTTCAAAAGAAATCCAGTTTTAATTTTATTCTTGCTTTCTTTCCCTGCCAAATATACCTCAACACTATTTTATTTAGATCTTCAAAATAATATTTCCCTAATCTAATTGTAATTGTCTGGAACAAATATAAAATCTTTTCCCTGCTGCTATTCTTCCCAGCAAAGATAATTGTAATTTCTCCCA